CAATTATAACCCCTACCAAAACACTTTACCAGGTACACTCAACAGACTTATCCCCCTATAATTTTTTGCACTCTCTTTTATCCCCTTTGCCTTTATACAAAGGAACTATGCATGCTCTCTGCCAATCCCCAGGTACCTTACCCTCTTCCATACATTTATTAAATAAATTGCACCAACCACTCCAAAACTATATCCCCACCTGCTTTTAACATTTCTATCTTTATCCCATCAATTCCCGGCTGCCTTACCCCCTTCATTTTACCTACTGCCTCACGAACTTCCCCCACACTCACAACTGGCTCTTCCTCACTCCTACAAGATGTTATTCCTCCTTGCCCTATACACGAAATCACAGCTTCCCTATCTTCATCAACATTTAACAATTCCTCAAAAAAATTCCTTCCAAACTTCCCAATACCTCTAAATCTCCATTTAATAACTCTCCTCTCCTATTTTTAACTGACAAATCCATTTGTTCTCTAGGCTTTCTTAACTTGTTAATCTCACTCCAAAACTTTTTCTTATTTCAACAAAATTTGTTGATAACATCTCCCCCCACTCTCTCATTTGCTCTCTTTTACATTGCTTCACCACTCTCTTAACTTCTCTCTTTTTTTCCATATACTCTTCCCCCCTTGCATCACTTCTACTTTGTAAAAACTTCTCATATGCTAACTTTTTCTCCCTTACTACTCTCTTTACACATCATTCCCAATCGTCCTCTTCCCTCCTGCACCCACTTTCCTGTAACCACAAACTTCTGCTGAACACTCTAACACTACATTTTTTAAACCTACCCCATACCTCTTCGACCCCATTGCCTATGCTCTCATTACCCCATCTATCCTCCAATAGCTGTTTATATCTTACCCTAACTGCCTCCTCTTTTAGTTTATAAACCTTCACCCTCTCTTCCCTGATGCTTTTATTCTCCTTGTATCCCATCACCTTTTACTCTCAGTGTAGCTACAACAGAAAGTGATCTGATATATCTGTGGCCCCTCTATAAACATGTACATCCTGAAGTCTACTCAACAGTCTTTTATCTACCAATACATAATCCAACAAACTACTGTCATTTCGCCCTACATCATATCGTGTATACTTATTTATCCTCTTTTTCCTTAAAATATGTATTACCTATAACTAAACCCCTTTCTATACAAAGTTCAATCAAAAGGGCTCCCATTATCATTTACACCTGGCACCCCAAACTTACCTACCACACCCTCTCTAAAAGTTTCTCCTACTTTAGCATTCAAGTCCCCTACCACAATTTTCTCTCTCACTTGGTTCAAAGGCTCCTATACATTCACTTAACATCTCCCAAAATCTCTCTCTCTCCTCTGCATTCCTCTCTTCTCCAGGTGCATACACGCTTATTATGACCCACTTCTCGCATCCAAACCCTTTTCTTAATCCACATAATTCTGAATTTAAAACATTCATATTCTCTTTTCTCCTTCCATAACTGATCATTTTTTAACATTACGCTACCCCTTCCTTTGCTCTAACTCTCTCAGATACTCCAGATTTAATCCCATTTATTCCCCCCACTGAAACTCTCCTACCCCCCTTTAGCTTTGTTTCGCTTAGGGCCAGGACATCCAACTTCTTTTCATTCATAACATCAGCAATCATCTATTCTTGTCATCCGCACTACATCCACGCACATTTTAAACAACCCAGTTTTATAAAGTTTTTCTTTTTCTCTTTTTTAGTAATTTTATACAGGAGAAGGGGTTACTAGCCCAAAGCCCGGCATTTTAGTCGCCTCATAAAAACACCATGGCTTACGGAGGAAAGATTTTTTCCTCCATAAAAATCTTTACAGCATTTAGTAATACACCATTCCCTTACTAGGACCCCCGGTTTGCGATATTAAACCGTTCCGAGACTCATCGTAAACCAAAAATTTTCGAAAAGCAAATCAATTTTCCCCATAAGAAATAATGGAAATCAAATTAATCTGTGCAAGACACCCAAAAGTATGAAAAAAAAAATTTTACCACATGAAATATTAAGTTTAATGCACACAAACTGAAGAAGACATGCACAGTTTGTAGTACTCTACTAACAACAGAATACATGACACTTACCTTTAATGAAGATCTGGTGATGATTGATGGGATGGGAGGAGGGGAGAGTGTCGAACTTATTGTTCAGAAGGGGAATCCCCTTCCATTAGAACTTGAGGTAGCAAGTCCTTTTCTGGGGTTACTTCCCTTCTTCTTTTAATGCCACTAGGACCAGCTTGAGAGTCACTGGACCTCTGTCGCACAACAAATCTGTCCATAGAGCTCTGTACCTCCCGTTCCTTTACGATTTGTCTAAAATGGGCCACAACACTGTCATTGTAATAGTCACCAGCACAGCTTGCAATAGCTGTGTTAGGGTGATTTTCATCCATAAAGGTTTGCAGTTCAACCCACTTTGCACACATTTCCTTAATTTTTGAAGTAGGCACAATGGATTCCACAACTGGCATAGGCTTCTCAGGGTTAGCCCCAAACCCTTCAAAATTTTTCTTAATTTCCATACTAATTCTCACCCTTTTTACCACAGGGTTGGCACTAGAAGCTTTCTTGGGGCCCATGGTGACTTATTTTGCAAAAACAAGCACCAAAAACACTGTGATAATATGGAATGTACCGAATGTATCCTTAGATGCGAGCACACTGGCTGGCTTGTAAACACTGGGCTACACGTGGACACGTCTCGGACGAATCATGTATGGCAGAATTTTTAACGGGAACCGAGGCAGAATTTTTAACGGGAACCAAGGCAAAATTTTTGCGTTAAAATGTATCGAATACTGGATTTATCAGATACCAATGCTATCGTAAACCGGGGATCCACTGTACTGGTGGCCTGGTGGCTAAAGCTCTCGCTTCACACAGCGAGGGTCTGGGTTCGATTCCCAGCCAGGGTAGAAACATTGGGCGTGTTTCTTTACACCTGTTGTGTATGTTCCCCATCAGTAAAATGGATACCTGGGTGTTAGTTGACTGGTGTGGGTCACATCCTTGGACAATGACCTAATTTGCCCGAAATGTTCAGCATAACAAGCGGCTTTCTATATAGTAGTATGTCACTGATGTCAGCTAGGCCTGTATACCTTGTACATGTACTTTTTTTTTTTTTCAACAAGTCTGCCATCTCCCACCAAGGCAGGGTTACCAAAAAATAAAGAAAATCTCCAAAAAGAAAATACTTTCATCATTCAACACTTTCACCTCATTCATAATCACTGTCTTTGCAGAAGTGCCCAGATACAACAGTTTAGAAGCATATATATGAAAATATATAACATATCCCTCAAAACTACCAGTATCCCAAACACCACCTTTAAAGTGCAGGCATTGTATTTCCCATTTCCAGAACTCAAGTCCGGCTATATAAAAATCAGCAAAAAGTAACTGTGTAATCAGCAAAAAGTAACTGTGTCAACTCCCATTGTGTACTTGATTCCCCATAATTTAATCCCACCCCTCTCCCTAACACCTTAGCATTTACCTCCTTCACAACCCCATCTATAAATATACATGTATTAAACAAACATGGTGACATTACACATCCCTGTCTAAGACCCACTTTTACTGGGAAGTAATCTCCCTCTCTTCTACACACCCTAACCTGAGCCTCACTATCCTCATAAAAACTCTTTACTGCATTTAGTAACTTACTACCTATTCTATACACTTACAACATCTGCCACATAGCTCCCCTATCCACTATCACCATCACTCATACATAATCACTGTCTTTGTAGAGGCGCTCAGATGCGACAGTTTAGATGTCCCTCCAAACTGCCAATATCCCAAACCCCTCCTTGAAAATGCAAGCACTGTACTTCCAATTTCCAGGACTCTGGTCCGGCTAACCGGTTTCCCCGAATTCCTACACAAAATATTACCCTGCTCACACTCCAAGAGTTTGTCAGATCCCAAAAACCATTCATCTCCATTCCCTATCTAACATACTCATGCACACTTGCTGGAAGTTCAAGCCCCTCGCCCACAAAACCTCCTTTACCCCTCCCCCTCCTCCAACCTTTTTGGGAACGACCCCTATCCCGCCTTCCTTACCCCAATAGATTTACACGTGTGCTTCAATGTAAACACTTGATCTACCCATCACCTACCCATTCTAAAGCCTTGCTCATCTGCAATCCTCCTCTCTGTCTTATCTCTAATTCTTTCACTAATAACCCTGCCATACACTTTACCTGGTATACTCAGTAAACTTATTCCCCTATTACTTTTACAATCTCTTTTGTCCCCCTTCCTTTTATATAAAGGAACTATACATGCCTCTGCCCATCCCTAGGTACCTTCCCCTCTTTCATACATTTATTAAACAAAACTACGAACCTCTCCAACACTGCTTTTAACATTTCTGTCATGATCCCGTCAGTTCCAGCTGCTTTACTTCCTTTCATTCTATGCAATGCCTCACACACCTTCCACACACTCACATCTTGCTCTTTTTCACTCCTAAGAGATGTTATACCTCCCTGGCCAGTAGATGAAATTACACATTGCCTCTCTTTCTTTATCAGCATTTAAAAGTTCCTCAAAATATTCCTGCCATCTACCCAATACCTCCAGCTCCCCATCTACTAACTCCTCTACTCAGTTTTAAATGACAAACCCATTCATTCCCTAGGCTTTCTTAACTTGTTTATCTTACTCAAATTTTTTTCTTTTTCTCAGCATACAAATATGTACTGGAAATACACATGAAATTTCAATGAATAATGAAAAGGGACCAAAGAATCAATTTTTTTTGTATGAATACAAGTATCCAGGCTGTGATGGATATGTGGGGCAGTGGGCCTCCAGCAGCAACAGCCTGGTTGACCAGGAAAGCACCAGACGAGCCTGGCCCATGGCCAGGTTCAGAGAGTAGATTAACTCTCGAAATTCTTCAAAGGTATATCCAAAAACTACTATTTCTCTTGCTACAGAATAAGTAACAATAATACTCCAATGTCTTACCTCTTTTTAATGGGATCTGGGTGACATTCAATTTTGGTTTCTCCATCATATCTTAGTTTTCCAAGGTCTTCCAAATTACTGATATCATTAGGCATGTCCATAATACTTGTCTGAAATTATGTATGCCATACATTATAATCTGAAATTTTAGTTATATATGGAAACAGATAATGTAGGTGAGAGCAAATATATTAATCATTGCTTACACTATTACTGTACAGCATTACAACATGTTAGCCAGACTTGAGCTCACACTCCAACAGCATGTCAAATTCCAAAAATCATTCACTCACTCACATAAACAACAACCAGCATGGGTTCAGAGATGGTAAGTCTTGTCTTATCAACCTTTGGGAATTTTATGACAAAGCAACAGAAGTGAGACAGGAGAAAGAGGGTTGGGTGGACTGCATTTTCCTAGGCTGCAAGAATGCATTTTATACTGCACCCCACATGAGACTGGGGCAAAAAGATGAGAAAGATGCAGAAATAACTGGAAATGTACTTGAGTGGATTAAGGAGTGCCACAGAGTGAGGAAGCAAAGAGTGACTGTTTGGCAAGATATGCCAGAGTGGGGAAGGGTAACAAGTGGTGCACTACAAGGATCGGTATTAGAACCAGTACTTTTCTGGTTTATGTGTTGTGAATGAGAGTGTGAGTGTGAGGTGTGTGTGTGCGGTGTGCGTGTGTGCGGTGTGCATGTGTGCGGTGTGCGTGTGTGCGGTGTGCGTGTGTGCGGTGTGCGTGTGTGCGGTGTGTGGTGTGCGTGTGTGCGTGTGTGCGTGTGTGCGGTGTGCTGTGTGCGCGTGTGCGTGTGTGCGCGTGTGCGTGTGTGCGTGTGCGTGTGTGCATGTGTGTGTGTGTGCGCGGTTGTGTGTGTGCGGTGTGTGTGTGTGCGGTGTGTGTGTGCGTGTGTGTTGTGTGTGCGCGGTGTGTGTGTGTGTGTGTGCAGTGTGTGTGTGTGTGTGTGCGGTGTGTGTGTGTGCGGTGTGTGTGTGTGTGTGTGTGCGTGGTGTGTGTGTGTGTGTGTGCGCGGTGTGTGTGTGTGTGTGTGTGTGCGCGGTGTGTGTGTGTGTGTGTGTGTTGTGCGCGGTGTGTGTGTGTGTGTGTGCGGTTGTTGTGTGTGTTGTGTGTGTGCGGTTGTGTGTGTTGTGTGTGTGTGGTGTGTGTGTGTGTGTGTGTGTGGGTGTGTGTGTGTGTGTGTGTTGTGCGCGGGTGTGTGTGTGTGCAGGTGTGTTGTTGTGTGCGAGTGTGTGTTGTGTGCGGTTGTGTGTGTGTGGGTGTGTGTGTGTGTGTGCGGTGTGTGTGTGTGTGTGCGTGTGTTGTGTGTGTGTGTCGGTTTTGTGTGTGTGCGGTGTGTGTGTGTGTGCGGTGTGTGTGTGTGTGCGGTGTTGTGTGTGCGGTTTGTGTGTGCGGTGTGTGTGTGTGCGGTGTGTGTGTGTGCGGTGTGTGTGTGTGCGGTGTGTGTGTGTGTGCGGTGTGTGTGTGTGTGTGTGCGGGTGTGTGTGTGTGTGCGGTGTTGTGTGTGTGTGTGTGTGTGTGTGTGGTGTGTGTGTGGGTGTGTGTGTGTGGTGGTGTGTGTTGTGTGTGTGGTGTGTGTGTGTGTGGTGTGTGGTGTGTGTGTGTGTGTGTGGTGTGTGTGTGTGTGTGTGTGTGCGCGTGTTGTGTGTGTGCGTGTTGTGTGTGTGCAGTGTGTGTGTGTGCGAGTGTGTGTGTGTGCGGTGTGTGTGTGTGCGTGTGTGTGCGTTGTGTGTGTGGTTGTGTGTGTGCGGTGTTGTTGTGTGTGTGCGGTGTGTGATGTGTGTGTGCGGTGTGTGGGTGTGTGTGTGTGTGTGTGTGTGCGTGTGTGGGGTGTGTGTGTGCGGTGTGTGTGTGTGCGGTGTGTGTGTGTGTGCGGTTGTGTGTGTGGTGTGCGGTGTGTGGTGTGTGCGGTGTGTGTGTGTGTGCGGTGTGTGTGGTGTGTGCGGTGTTGTGTGTGTCGTTGTGGTGTGTGTGTGTGTTGGTTTGTGTGTGTGTGTGTGGGTGTGTGTGTGTGTGTGCGGTGTGTGTTGTGTGCGGTGTGTGTGTGCGGTGTGTGTGTGTGCAGTGTGTGTGCGGTGTGTGTGTGTGTGCGCGGTGTGTGTGTGTGCGGTGTGTGTGGTGGGTGTGTGTGTGTGGTGTGTGTGTGTGTGCGGTGTGTGTGTGGAGGTGTGTGGTGTGCGGTGTTGTGTGTGTGTGCGGTGTGTGTGTGTGTGTGCGCGGTGTGTGTGTGTGTGCGGTGTGTGGTGTGTGTGTGCGGTGTGTGTGTGTGTGTGTGTGTGCGTTGTGTGTGTGTGTGTGTCGGTGTGTGTGTGTGTGTGGTGTGGGTGTGTGTGTGCAGTGTGTGTGTGTGCAGTGTGTGTGTGTGCGGTGTGTGTGTGTGCGTGTGTGTGTGTGCGGGGTGTGTGTGTGTGTGTGTGCGGTTGTGTGTGTTGTGTGCGGTGTGTGTCGGTGCGGTGTGTGTGTGTGTGCGGTGTTGTTGTGTGTGTGCGGTGTGTGTGTGTGTGGGTGTGTTGTGTGTGTGTGCGGTGGTGTGTGCGGTGTTTTGTGTGCGGTGTGTGTGTGTGCGGTGTGTGTGTGTGCGGTGTGTGTGTGTGCGGTGTGTGTGTGTGTGGTGTGTGTGTGTGTGTGGTGTGTGTGTGTGTGTGGTGTGTGTGTGTGTGTGGTGTGTGTGTGTGTGTGTGTGGTGTGTTGGTGTGTGTGGTGGATGTGTGTGTGTGTGTGTGTGCGCGGTGTGTGTGCAGTGTGTGTGTGTGCAGTGTGTGTGTGTCAGTGTGTGTGTGTGCGGTGTGTGTGTGTGCGGTGTGTGTGTGTGCGGTGTGTGTGTGTGCGGTGTGTGTGTGTGCGTTGTGTGTGTGCGGTGTGTGTGTTGTGCGGTGTGTGTGTGTGCGGTGTGTGTGTGCGGTGTGGTGTGTGTGCGGTGTGTGTGTGTGCGGTTGTGTGTGTGCGGTGTGTGTGTGTGCGGTGTGTGTGTGTGTGCGGTGTGTGTGTGTGTGCGGTTGTGTGTGTGTGCGGTGTGTGTGTGTGTGCGGTGTGTGTGTGTGTGTGCGGTGTGTGTGTGTGTGCGGTGTGTGTGTGTGTGCAGTGTGTGTGTGTGCAGTGTGTGTGTGTGCGGTGTGTGTGTGTGTGCGGTGTGTGTTGCGGTGTGTGTGTGTGTGCGGTGTGTGTGGTGTGTGTGTGCGGTGTGTGTGTGTGTGTGTGCGGTGTGTGTGTGTGTGCGGTGTGTGTGTGTGTGCGGTGTGTGTGTGTGTGCGGTGTGTGTGTGTGCGGTGTGTGTGTGTTGTGCGGTGTGTGTGTGTGTGCGGTGTGTGTGTGTGTGCGGTGTGTGTGTGTGTGTGCGGTGTGTGTGTGTGTGTGCGGTGTGTGTGTGTGTGTATACATGTGTGTGTATATATATATATATATTTTTTTTTTTTCAACAAGTCGGCCGTCTCCCACCGAGGCAGGGTGACCCAAAAAAGAAAGAAAATCCCCAAAAGAAAATACTTTCATCATCATTCAACACTTTCACCACACTCACACATTATCACTTTTTGCAGAGGTGCTCAGAATACAACAGTTTAGAAGCATATACGTATAAAGATACACAACATATCCCTCCAAACTGCCAATATCCCAAACCCCTCCTTTAAAGTGCAGGCACTGTACTTCCCATTTCCAGGACTCAAGTCCGACTATATGAAAATAACCGGTTTCCCTGAATCCCTTCACTAAATATTACCCTGCTCACACTCAAACAGATCGTCATGTCCCAAGTACCATTCGTCTCCATTCACTCCTATCTAACACGCTCACGCACGCTTGCTTGAAGTCCAAGCCCCTTGCCCACAAAACCTCCTTTACCCCCTCTCTCCAACCCTTTCGAGGACGACCCCTACCCCGCCTTCCTTCCCCTATAGATTTATATGCTTTCCATGTCATTCTACTTTGATCCATTCTCTCTAAATGACCAAACCACCTCAACAACCCCTCTTCTGCCCTCTGACTAATACTTTTATTAACTCCACACCTCCTAATTTCCACACTCCGAATTTTCTGCATAAAATTTACACCACACATTGCCCTTAAACAGGACATCTCCACTGCCTCCAACCGTCTCCTCGCTGCTGCATTTACCACCCAAGCTTCACACCCATATAAGAGTGTTGGTACTACTATTCTTTCATACATTCCCTTCTTTGCCTCCATAGATAACGTTTTTTGACTCCACATATACATCAACGTACCACTCACCTTTTTTCCCTCATCAATTCTATGATTAACCTCATCCTTCATAAATCCATCCGCCGACACGTCAACTTCCAAGTATCTGAAAACATTCACTTCTTCCATACTCCTCCTCCCCAATTCGATATCCAATTTTTCTTTATCTAAATCATTTGATACCCTCATCACCTTACTCTTTTCTATGTTCACTTTCAACTTTCTACCTTGACACACCCATTCCCAAACTCATCCACTAACCTTTGCAATTTTTCTTTAGAATCTCCCATAAGCACAGTATCATCAGCAAAAAGTACTGTGTCAATTCCCATTTTGAATTTGATTACCCATAATTTAATCCCACCCCTCTCCCGAACACCCTAGCATTTACTTCTTTTACAACCCCATCTATAAATATATTAAATAACCATGGTGACATTACACATCCCTGTCTAAGACCTACTTTTACCAGGAAGTAGTCTCCCTCTCTTCTACACACCCTAACCTGAGCCTCACTATCCTCATAAAAACTCTTTACAGCATTTACAGTAACTTACCACCTATTCCATATACTTGCAACATCTTCCACATTGCTTCCCTATCCACTCTATCATATGCCTTTTCTAAATCCATAAATGCAATAAAAACTTCCCTACCTTTATCTAAATACTGTTCACATATATGCTTCAATGTAAACACTTGATCTACACATCCCCTACCCACTCTGAAACCTCCTTGCTCATCCTACATTCTGTCTTACCTCTAATTCTTTCAATTATAACCCTACTGTACACTTTTCCTGGTATACTCAGTAAACTTATTCCTCTATAATTTTTACAATCTCTTTTGTCCCCTTTCCCTTTATATAAAGGGACTATACATGCTCTCTGCCAATCCCTAGGTACCTTCCCCTCTTTCATACATTTATTAAACAAAAGTACCAACCACTCCAACACTGTATCCACCACTGCTTTTTAACATTTCTGTCATGATCCCGTCAGTTCCAGCTGTTTTATCCCTTTCATTCTCCGTAATGCCTCACGTACCTCCACCACACTTACATTCTGCTCTTCTTCACTCCTAAAAGATGGTATACCTCCCTGGCCAGTGCATGAAATTACCACCTCCCTTTCTTCCTCAACATTTAAAAGTTCCTCAAAATATTCTCGCCATCTACCTAATACCTCCCTCTCCCCACCTACTAACTCCCCTACTCTGTTTTTAACTGACAAATCCATTTGTTCCCTAGGTTTTATTAACTTGTTTAACTCACTCCAAATTTTTTTCTTATTTTCATTAAAATTTCTTGACAGTGCCTCTCCCACTCTATCATCTGCTCTCCTTTTGCACTCTCTCACCACTCTCTTCACCTTTCTTTTACTCTCCATATACTCTGCTCTTCTTATAACACTTTTTCTTTGTAAAAACCTCTCATAAGCTAACTTTTTCTCTTTTATCACACCCTTTACTTCATCATTCCACCAATCACTCCTCTTTCCTCCTTCCCCCACCCTCCTATAACCATAAACTAATGCCCCACATTCTAATACTGCATTTTTAAAACTAATCCAACCCTCTTCAACCCCCCCACTACTCATCTTTGCACTAGCCCACCTTTCTGCCAATAGTCGCTTATATCTCACCCGAACTTCCTCCTCCCTTAGTTTATACACTTTCACTTCCCTCCTACTTGTTGTTCCCACCTTCCTCTTGTCCCATCTACCTCTTACTCTAACTGTAGCTACAGCTAAATAATGATCCGATATATCCGTTGCCCCTCTATAAACATGTACATCCTGGAGCCTCCCCATCAACCTTTTATCCACCAATACATAATCTAACAAACTACTTTCATTACGTGCTACATCATACCTTGTATATTTATTTATCCTCTTTTTCATAAAATATGTATTACTTATTACCAAATCTCTTTCTACACATAGCTCAATTAAAGGCTCCCCATTTACATTTACCCCTGGCACCCCAAATTTACCTACTACTCCCTCTATAACATTTTTACCCACTTTAGCATTGAAATCCCCACCACCATTACTCTCACACTGATTCAAAACTCCCCACACATTCACTCAACATTTCCCAAAATCTCTCTCTCTCCTCTACACTTCTCTCTTCTCCAGGTGCATACACGCTTACTATAACCCACTTTTCACATCCAATCTTTATTTTACTCCACATAATCCTTGAATTAATACATTTATAGTCCATCTTTTCCTGCCATAGGTTATCCTTCAACATTATTGCTACTCCTTTAGCTCTAACTATTTGAAACCCCTGACCTAATCCCATTTATTCCTCTCCATTGAAACTCTCCCACCCCCTTCAGCTTTGTTTCACTTAAAGCCAGGACATCCAGCTTCTTCTCATTCATAACATCCACAATCATCTCTTTCTTATCTTTTGCACAACATCCACGCACATTCAGACTTCCCACTTTGACAATTTTCTTCTTCTTATTCTTTTTAGTAATCTTTACAGGAAAAGAGGTTACTAGCCCATTGTTCCCGGCATTTTAGTTGCCTTTTCAACACGCATGGCTTACGGAGGAAAGATTCTTATTCCACTTCCCCATGGATATAAAAGGAAAAGTAATAAGACCAAGAACTATTAAGATAAAATCAAATAAAACTCAGATGAGTGTGTATAAATAAACGTGTACATGTATATGTAGTGTAAGTAGAAGTAGCAAGACATACCTGTAATCTTGCATATTTATGAGACAGACAAAAGACACCAGCAATCCTCCCATCATGTAAAACAATTCCAGGGTTTCGTTTTACACTCACTTGGCAGGACGGTAGTACCTCCCTGGGTGGTTGCTGTCTACCAACCTACTACATGTACAAGCATATATATATACACACCCCTCTGAGGTTTCTTCTATTTTCTTTCTAGTTTTTGTTCTTGTTTATTTCCTCTTATCTCCATGGGGAAGTGGAACAGAATTCTTCCTCCGTAAGGCATGCGTGTTGTAAGAGGCGACTAAAATGCCGGGAGCAAGGGGCTAGTAACCTCTTCTCCTGTATTTATTTTTATTTATTATCACACTGGCCGATTCCCACCAAGGCAGGGTGGCCCAAAAAAGAAAAACTTTCACCATCATTCACTCCATCACTGTCTTGCCAGAAGGGTTCTTTATACTACATTTTTTAAATTGCAACATTAACACCCCTCCTTCAGAGTGCAGGCACTATACTTCCCATCTCCAGGACTCAAGTCCGGCCTGCCGGTTTCCCTGAACCCCTTCATAAATGTTACTTTGCTCACACTCCAACAGCACGTCAAGTATTAAAAAACATTTGTCTCCATTCACTCCTATCAAACACACTCACGCATGCCTGCTGGAAGTCCAAGCCCCTCACACACAAAACCTCCTTTACCCCTTCCCTCCAACCTTTCTTAGGCCGACCCCTACCCCTACTAAATGTGAAAGGAGAAACTTTCGTTTTTCCTTTTGGGCCACCCCGCCTCGGTGGGATGCGGCCGGTGTGTTGAAAGAAGAAATATATATATAGATGTAGTAGGTTGGTAGACAGCAACCACCCAGGGAGGTACTACCGTCCTGCCAAGTGAGTGTAAAATGAATGCCTGTAATTGTTTTACATGATGGTAGGATTGCTGGTGTCTTTTGTCTGTCTCATAAATATGCAAGATTACAGGTACGTCTTGCTACTTCTACTCATTCACAAAACTCACACTATAGCTGTCCTTTTGGAAATGCCTCAAATGATTCACTGAACTACATCACACCCCCACTTCTCTTTCAAACTGTAGACACTCTATTTCCCACCATTATAACTCAACAGAAAAATTGTTATATACCTGGAGATCTTTTATTATTTGAAGCATTTCGTTGTCACGTTTCACTTCGTTGATATATTCAGCTAAGTCCATCATTGCTTCATGAGCTCTTTTAAGATTTTCCAGGTCACTGTGAGTCTGCAATGAAAATCATTAAAATCAGCCTCAGTATAAGCATTTAGAATTAATGCTGAGACTATTCAATAGGTACTGTGTAGTAAACTGATTAGCCATTGTTGCCCATAATAGCACTATTACTGCAGGAGAAAAGGTCTTACCTTTCCTCCCACTTGTGATTCTCTCTGGTTACACTCATAGCAACTGAGGTTCAAGCTCCTCAAGCACAACTAGCGAATACATTGCCCTTTTACTGAAAAATACTTTGGTCTTCCTACGCAGTAAATGCACTCAAATTAACACAAGTTAATGACTGTCAGTAAAATTTTATGAAACAATGTATGAGGAGAACATTATGTATGTGATATATGTGAGAAGAGGGGTGTGCTGACTTTACCTCACCTCCCACCCCACACACACAGGATTTCAATTCATCTAAAACTGTTTTCTTTGTGCAGTGCATGAATAAGAAAAGATTATTTATGATGCCTGTCATCACTAACTGCCATCAACAGAGGTGCTCTATGAACAAAACCTCATCCTGGCCTACACTGGCCAAGTATTAAATACTGCAGGTGTCAAATTTCCATCAAAATTGAACTGCTTTGCTAAGCATTGTATGATAAATCCAGGCTCAATGTGGCTGGGAGCCTGGTATGACACATACACTCACCCTGTGCTCTTGCTATACTTAATGTTTATCAGAAAATCTATGGCATGCTGAAATGTTTTCCTGAAAATAATTAGTGCCTACATTCCACAGACATTCTACGTATATGAAACTGGATTGTTCCCTTGTGAATTCTATAGTCAAGAATTGATTATGCATGTCTACCATCACCTTCAGTGTTCCAAACACCACTACACCCCAAGAGCAAAGTGCAAAAATACATCAAGAAAACCTTGTCATTTAATGTTATGACCTGCTTTAGATTCAGAGAGCTCTATATTACAGTATTATGCACTTTGGTAGTGCCTATTATTTAGGATGGAACATTTAACATACTACCAAAATATCTAAATAAATTTTAACATACCTTTGTGCTCTCTATTCAGTGGATATGTTTTTCCTCCTCTAACACTAGCCATCTCTGATACACTGTATTTGGTATGTCATAGACTAAATGAGTCTCACTTTAGAAGTGTATTGCATTCTGGTATGATATTAACAAAATACTGCAATTGCAAGCATACAGAGACAATGTACTTATGTAAAATATCAAGACCTATTAGAAACAATTTATCAAATTTTAATGTAATTCAACTTCTGAACAGCACACTGCAAAAAGTATGAAAAAAAAATAGTCTTGTAAAGTAACCTTATTGTTGCAACCCCCCCAAACTAAAAGCACTGACAGTGTCACAATTTTTCAAAGATAGATAGATATTACACACACACACACACACACATACACACACACACACACACACAGGGGACACGAGCTGAGTCTCGACCCCTGCAACCACAATTAGGTGTACACACACACACACACACACACACACACACAACAACACACACACACACACAACACACACACACACACACACACACACACACACACACACACAAAATCCATATATATATTAGAGTACATTTAAGTCATGCAATTCTAGACAAGCATTTTGATCCCCCATACATGTTAAAGTTTAAGAAATCAGCAAACCCTCACAGTGATGACTGTTTGTTCCCAATTCTTTCAGAATCTTCTTTTACATTTCCCATGTATACACAGGACATTAATACAGCATGCTTCACAAAATTATAACTTACAGATTGAGTGTGACGCACAAGCTCATGTAGCAAGAGATGGTATTTAAGGATCGTTGAAGGGCAAAACCAGTATTCCCGCAATGATCCCTTCCGTCACTTACTTTTTTGATAATCCTTAGGAAAAACAAAGATTTGTATAATGTAAACACTAAATTTATCGAAATTTTTTTTTAGCACACGGCGTTTTCCACAAAGACAGGGCCCAAAAAAAAAAAACCTTGCCCATCACGTTTCAATTTTTGATAAAGGGTTTTGAAAACCAAAAATTGAAATTGAGACATTTATGCAACAGGGGAATTTTTTATTGAAGAACTTTTTGCCACAAGGGGCTTCTCAGTCCAATAAAAAACAGAAAAGGGAAAGGAAGGAGTAGTTTGGGGTAATCAGTCCATCAACCTGGAATCGATGTGTTCATCTATCAGTCTTATGGAAAGAAACAGCATAGGGCTGGAGAGTGGCTTATAACTGCAGTCAGGCGAGTTGAAGCGGAGGAGGTGGTATCACAGTGGAACCATCCACGGTTGAAGTAGGTCTTCGTCCAACCTTTGGGCAAAGACCCTACTTACACTCCTCCTCTCCTTACACCTTTTCTGCTTTGTATTGGACTGATGAAGCTACTGTGTGGTAAGATAAGATAAGATTTCGTTCGGATTTTTAACCCCGGGAGGGTTAGCCACCCAGGAAAACCCAAGAAAGTCAGTGCGTCATCGAGGACTGTAACTTATTTCCATTGGGGTCCTTAATCTTGTCCCCCAGGATGCGACCCCCACCAGTCGACTAACACCCGGGTACCTATTTGCTGCTAGGTGAACAGGACAATAGGTGAAGGAAACGTGTCGAAATGTTTCCACCCCCGGGAATCGAACCCGGGCCCTCCGGTGTGAGGCGGGAGCTTTAGCCACCAGGCCATATGATGCATGTCTCAATCTTCAACTGATTCAACAGCTGGGGCAGTCTTGTGTTTTAACATGACTGAGAAAGTATCCAAATTGCATAGTGTGTGTGTTAAGTCCCTACCCGTAAGCTCCGAGAGAATGAAAAACCAAGTTACTTTTCAAAATCTGGGTACTACTGCCAGAAATTTTTCCCCTTCCAACCCCTGTTGGTCTAACCATTGCTGCCTACAGTTGCTTGTTGAGAGTCACATGCCTCACACACTCTCTCTTTCTCTCTCACACTCTCACTCACACTCTCTCTCACACACTCTCCTCTCACCAATTTTTACTCACCCCTCTCTCTCACCACTAAATCTCTCTCTACTCTTCTCACACTCTCTCCACACTCTCTCACTCTCCTCACACACTCTCTTCCCCACACACCTCCCCACACCAAATCTCTCACTCTCTCTCTCATCACCCCTCACTCTCACACTCACTACACCACTCTCACACTCACTCTCACATCACTTCACACTCCTCTCAACTCACTCTCACTCTCACTCTCACTCTCACTCTCACACTCACTCTCACACTCACCTCACACTCACTCTCACACTCACTCTCACACTCACCTCTCACACTCTCACACTCACCTCACACTCTCACTCACACTCTCACTCCCCCACACTCACCTTTACACACTCACTCTCCAAAACTCACTCTACAAATCACTCTCACACACTCACTCTCACACACTCACTCTCACACTCCTCTCACACACTCACTCTCACACACTCACTCTCAAAACACTCACTCTCACACACTCACTTCCCCCTCTTTACACACTCACTCCACACACTCACTCTCACACACTCACTCTCACACACTCACTCTCACACACTCACCTCACACACTCACTCTCACACACTCACTCTCACACACTCACTCTCCCCACACTCACTCTCACACACTCACTCTCACACATCACTCTCAAAAACACTCACTCCACACCATCTCACACTCACTCTCACACACTCACTCTCACACACTCACTCTCACCCCACTCACTCTCACACACTCACTCCACACACCATCTCACACCTCACTCTCACCACTCACTCTCACAAAACTCCCCCTCCACTTCCCCCCACACTCACTCTCACAAAACTCACTCTCAACATTCCCCCCTCACTCCTCTACACACTCACTCTCACACACTCACTCTCACACACTCACTCTCACACCTCACTCTCACACTCACCTAAAACTCACTCTCACACTCACTCTCACACTCACTCTCAACCACTCTCACATCACTCTCACACTCACTCTCCCCACACCCCCTCACTCTCACACCTCTCAACACTCACACTCTCACACACTCACATCTCTCACACCACACTCTCTCACACTCAACTCTCTCACACTCACACTCTCTCACACTCACACTCTCACACTCCCCACCTCTCACACTCACCTCTCTCACATCACACTCCTCACACTCACACCTCTCACACTCCCACTCTCTCACATCCCTCTCTCACACTCACACTCCTCACACTCACACTTTTCTCACACTCACACCTCTCACACACTCACACCTCTCACATCACATCTCTCACACTCCACTCTCTCACACTCACACTCTCTCACACTCACACTCTCTCACACTCACACTCTCTCACACTCACACTCTCTCACACTCACACTCTCTCACACTCACACTCTCTCACACTCACACTCTCTCACACTCACACTCTCTCACACTCACACTCTCTCACACTCACACTCTCTCACACTCACACTCTCACACTCACACTCTCACCTCACTCTCACACACTCTCTCACACACACTCACACTCTCACACACACTCCTCTCACACTCTCACACACTCTCTCACACTCTCACACACTCTCTCACACACTCACACTCTCTCACACACTCACACTCTCTCACACACTCACACTCTCTCACACTCTCTCACACTCACACTCTCTCACACTCACACTCTCTCACACTCACACTCTCTCACACTCACACTCTCTCACACTCACACTCTCTCACACTCTCTCACACTCACACTCTCACACTCTCACACTCACACTCTCTCACACTCACACTCTCTCACACTCACACTCTCTCACAACTCCACACTCTCTCACACTCACACACACACACACACACACACACACACTCACACTCTCTCTCTCTCACACTCACTCTCTCCATATATCAAAGAATTATCCTACAAGGTGGTACATGTGTGATGCACACTGGCTGCACTTTCAGCCTTGGAAGCTCCACACTGCAAAAGTTATGCAAGCAATTTTCTGTTATTAGTACACGTGTAGACCTTTTCACTGAAAAGGAC